TTACTTCGGGTCAAAGAATGCCTGTTGATGCTATACAACAACAAAATTCAACACAGACAAATGTTTCGACTACAATAGAGAAGCAGGATGGTAATACTAAAAATATTTAAATTTACAAAGCATTATAAAATTTAATTGAAAATTAAAATGATTAAATTGACTTAAATATTTATTTAATTAAAAAATAAAAATATTGTGTTTCTTTGAACATCTTCAATGAAAAATCTTTTACTAAAAAACTACAGAAAAATCTCCTGAAACCGCCGAGGGACAGCGACGACAAATTTCTCCTGGTCCGCCTGGTTTAGATGAAGGAGGTTCTCCTCCGCCATCGCTTGAACAGCAACAACAAAAATCCCCATCGTCTGTACAAATTCCTCAATCTATTCAACAATTCTCTTCTGTTTCCCCAAGTATCATGATAAATCAACAACAGCCAAAGCTTCCACCTCGCCAAATTAGCCTTGAAGAAGCCAAAGAAAGTCAGAAATTTGGACTTATTTTATCAAAAATATATTTTCCAGTTGCTGGAAGTTGCCAATTCTATAAACGGACAGGAACTTGTAATTTCGGAGAGAGATGCAAATTTGCACACGATGATGAACATTTAACATTTGGAGTTCAAATGGCGATGCGTGGAGTGAGTATGCCTAACAGAGGTGTGTAGGATGAAATATTAATAGGATTAATATATTACTAACACCTCATTATCTAAACCAAAAAATACTATATAAAATAAATAGAATTGTAAAAATTTTACTTAAAATTCGAAAACAATAATACCTGAATTTGAATATAATCTGGTAAATGTCTAGTTGGTGATCTACCTGTCCGCAAAGGGAATGAACATTTTTCTTCTCTTTTCTTGCATTTATGTTTTGTGAGTACCACTCGCTCATTTTTCCTTTTTTGGTATAATATGCCTTTTTCACTTACAATTAGAAGGAATGGGAGAAGGTAGATCGCCAACAGGACATTTACTTATAATTTTATTCTTAATAAATTTAAAAAATTTAACGAAGCTTAATTACCTCTATTTAAAAATTTAATTACCCCTATTTATAACTTTTTAGTATTTGTTACCCTAAATTTTCATGAATTTTCCTTAAGTTTATACAATAAACATTTTATTAATATTTAGGAGGTTTTCGAGGTAGCCGAGGAGGAAGTAATTCTGTTGGCCGTGCTGGAGGAGCTCGTGATAGCCCTAAGGTAGATGCTGAAGGAGGGAGTGGAAGATTTGAAAAGTAAAATTTTTTATTTGAATATTTTTATTTATTATTTTAGGAGAACATCATCAAGACGTACAGCAGGCTCTGATTCAACGAGTAGACGTTTAGATTATGACATTTCTCCTGTCCGTGGTGGCGGCAGTGAGGATACTGTCAAGGGAAATCGTGATCGTCGTTATCGACGTTCTTCACCCCAACGTCGCCGGGGACATTCACGATCAAGGTGAATGAGAATTTGTTTTGCTTTTATAAATAAATGGTATTTATTTGTAAGGTCCCGCGATAGGTATTCTCGCCGCCGACGTAGCAGCTCGCGTTCTCGGAATGGACGACGACGTGCTAAGTCCTCGTCAAGTTCTAGCTGTTCTCGGTAATTTATATTTGAATATATAAATTTTTAAAAAGCCTAAGGAATAATTTGATATAATGGTTTTTTAGTTATGTGTAAAAATTCTAAGCACGGATAACTTGAATTCAGTTTTTTACTACCCACCCTTTTTTCAAAATTTGGGAATTGTTTCCTACCTACATATGAATTTAAATTAACCATAATAATAAAAATTTAAATTTTATTAATTTATAGTTCGGCCACCAGTGTTTCTCGTTCTTCTACACCACAAAAGGATCGGGATCGTAAACGAAGTCGTTCTCGAACTCCAACTCGACGACGACGAGACTACTCCCGTCAGCGTTACCGTAGAGATTATTATCGTCGCAGATCACCACCAAGACGCCGTTTTCATCCTCTTCAAATCGACGGCGAAGGCGTTCATCTTCTTCCTCTTCATCAGCATCACAAGAAAAAAAGAGGAATAGCAAAATTAAGAATTCGTGTGACACAGACAGTGGAAGTCCAGTTTTAGTATTGTCTGATGAAACTGTTCGAGGTGAAAAGAATAATGTAACGGCCTCTGATAGTTTAACAATGGAGGAAAATAAAGATTAAAAAATAAAAAGGAAAAAAAAATTTTGTGGTAATAACTATGTTTGTTCCTATATTTTCTTCACTTTCATTTATTTTTTTCTGTGACATTTAGCTTAGTTTGGGACCATGATTGTGTCATTAATATTAGCGGAAATATGTTACAAAAGTTGCTTACAGTCTTGTTCCAAACCCAAAAATACTTCAGAATTAAGCACAAACCCCCAAGAATAAATGAAAGAAAAAATGTTGGGAACGGACGTAATTATTACCAATTTTGTTTGTATTTGACTTTGATGTTTAAAAATATATTATTTAAATTTTAGTGTTTTAAATCACCTTTTGATGTGTTTCAAAATTAAATAAGTTATATTTAGAATTCTCTTTGTGAAAAAGTTTATTCTTGAAATTTACTATGAAACACTTAGCAGTGATAGTATTTCCATTTCATTGACGCCGACACATTTTATTTATAAAGTTTTTCTGTAGCACAAAAGTGACCCCCTAATTACTATATTATTCTTTTGTTTTTATTCCTTTGGTGTCAAATTTAAATGTATTTATCTACACATTTTTAAATAAAAATAATATAAATATAATTTCAATTAAAATTTTTGTATTAAAATTTAGTGAATATATAAATAAATAGCAACTTGAACTTCTCAAAAGTCCGTTCCTACAAGAATGGCGAAAGAAATTAAAAATATGAAACAAAAAATTCTTTTTTGAAAATTTATTTTAAGTTTAATGAGATTACAGAATATTTTAGCTATATTTTTGGTTATCCTTATTCAAAATTTTTATTATTTTAATTTTTTGTTAAAATATTACTCCCTTTTTTCATTTCAAGTGAAAAAAAAACGGATTCTCTTTGCAGACAGGAACCGAATATTTATCAAATAAAGAGATGTTTAACAATTTATTTATTTTTGAAAGTAAATATTAGAAGAATTTAAAGAAATTAAATTTTTGGAATAAAAAGTTAATAAATAAATAAATAATAACAAATATTCCAACACCTCATATTGACATTCAAAATTTAAAGAATTTTGTTTTCCTCCAATATTTCTTTTAAAATTGGAAGGTGAAATTTGTGAAGGGGTGTTTATTTAAAAAATTTGTTTTATCTTTTACAAGACTTGAAGAATTTTGAGTAACTTTGAGGAAATTATTTTTTAGACATTCATATGATAAATCAGAAGACATTATTGGCAGACAAAAGGTCTCATGCCCTCATTTAATTTAAAAATTAGCTTCCAGACAGATTGCGTCAATGCACTCGTAAATTCCCTTTTAAAAATTTATTTCCTTTAAAATTGTCTATTTTATTTAAATTTAAACAAAGAAATTTATTAAAGAATTTAAATTAAATGTCTGCCTCTCCAGACAGATTGCGTCAAAAAAATTTATTTTAAATTTATACAAGGCTATTTAAAACCTCAAAAATATGTAAATTAAATAATTAAAAAATATTTAAAAATATTTAAAAATTAATTTAACTTATTTAAATTAAAAAAAAAGTCTCTCTCCAAGAAAAAATGATTTATTATTCTCCCGCAAAAATATTCTTTTTAATTTTGCTAATTATTACAAAAGAAATAATGGTAAATGGCGGTCTTGTTAGAACAGTTTCAGAGACTATTAAAAACTCTGAAATACTCAAAAATTTTCAAAAACACCGCACAAGTAATTTAAAAATAATAATTTAACAGAGAAGATAGTGCCGGGACTTGTATAAAATTAGGAAAAATAAAAATTAATTAATTAATTAATAAAGAGAGAAGTCCACTGTAGCAATAACTTTATAAACAATCTATAAATAAATATTTATAGTAACACAAACAAAAATAGTAAAATCAAAAAGTTTAAAGACAATCTACCTATTAAATAAGAAATCCCCTCTGTTTCTATCTTTCAAAAATAAAAAAAAGTAATTTTTTAAAGGTTCTGTTCAAGACAAAAATTCACTAGAAACATTAAAACAATTTGAAAATAAGGATCTGGAGTTGGTTGAATATGGATATTTTTTGGAGAAATTGACAGAAGATATTAAAGAAAATAAAAGTAAACATTTAAAAAATGCTAAAGAAGAATTAAATAAATATAAAAATTTAATTGGAAATGTTAAAAATATGCGGGAAGAAGTTAACAAAAAATTGGAAAATGTTAAAATTGAAGCAGCAAGATTGTTAAATAAAAAAGGATTGAAAGTTTCAAATAAAGAAAAATTTGTTTTGTTAGAGATGATATTTAAATATGTTACTGCGAGAAATGAAAATATTAAAAAGGTTTTAAATTTAAAAAATATACCTAATTAAAATTCTTTGGGATGGGTTTGTAGTCCACACACTATTTGTAGGTAAGAAGTTTTTGAATACATACATAGGTATTTAGGTTAAAAAATGTGGTGATATTTTGAATTAAGATATCTTTTTATTAGAAAAGCTAGCTGACAAAATTTTTTAGGTAAAAAATTCAAACTTTAGGTGTTTGTTAATAGAAAAAAGTCTGAACAAAAAAATAATTGGATGAGATTGACTATAAGGGGGTAGGGGAAGGGGGAGGGAAGGAGGGATTTTCAAAGCAATTCCATTACCACTTACATAATTAACTAAACATTTTTATATTTATTTTAGGTAAAAAGTTTGTATAAAAATTTCCAACAAAAAGTTGAATCATTAACAGAAATATTAAAAAACTCAGAAAATTATTCTTTAAGTGAAGAAAATCAAAACAAATTGGTGGATATTAAAAATTATGGAACTAAATATGCCCATCATCTTGTAAACGTTAAAAAAGTTGCTGGAGAAATACAAAAAGATAAACACATTGATTTAATCCCTTTAATGTCAACACCTTTACATTCAAGTAAATCAACAGGAAATCTTCAAAATATTATAAATGAGGCAAAAATAAATAATACAAAAATAAAAAAATCAGGAAGCGTAAGAATTATGGAAAAAGTTTTAAATCCAGAAGGGGTTAAAATTAAAAAAGAAGCAAAAAATTTATTACCAAAATTTGAAGGAAGAACTACAAAATGGGGTGAAATAAATGAAAAAAGAAAAGAAATAAAAAGTTTTGTTAACGAAAGCTTAAAAGTTGACAAACAAATTTTTAAGGAATTTGAGATGTTTAAAGAAAATGAAAAATTGTTTGTTCTTGATCAAGAACGTTTAAATAAAATAAATTTGGATGCTAATTATGAAGGGAAAAGTTTTAAAGAATTAGAAGAAATACTTGGAAATAAATGTAAGTTTATGGAAATTTAAATAAAATATGTGATTGAGGAGGGAGGTGTGTAAGGGGTTGTGTTAGAAGTAAAAAAATTACAGGAACGAGTTTGGAATAAATAAAAGTATTGGAATTAGAATTAGATTTCAGACTCGTTTCTGGTAGGCTGAATAAAAATATGAGAGATATTGAGAAGAGCATATAGACATTTATGGACGATTTTATAGAGTAAATCCAGAAATAACAGATTAATAGCAAATGCTCAATTTTCTACATTAAAAAATTTAAAAATAAAAAGCTAGGAACCAATAGGAAAATACATATAACCTCATATTTTTACTAAAAATTTAATTAATAAATTTATTTAACTTTTAGCGGATGAAATGAAAGTAGTATATACCAGAGTTTTAAAACATTTTTTAAAGAAAATATTTTAAAACCCCTGTATAAATAAATACTTTTGAGAATAAAATTAAAAATATTTTCATTCTCAAATTTTCCTAATATTAAAGATAACAATTTTTAAAGTAAAACCTAAACCTATAGGAAATAAACTAAATGAAAATAAATCTTATTAATTTTTATTATTTTTTGTATTTTATATTTTTTAATATTTTTTTTGTATTTTATATTTTTATTATGTTTTTTTGTAATTTTATATTTTTATCATATTTTTTTGTATTTTATATTTTTACAAATTTTTATTCTTAATACAAGGATGTCTAAAGGTTCATATTCTATATGGGTATAAGCTTACGGCCTAGGTAGAATGTAAGTTTCGCCGATTCAATGACAAATGATTTTACAGCAACAAAAATATCTGAGCATGTATCTTTTACAAATAACCAAGCAGAAGAAAACACACTTGGTTCGTGGTACACTACTGAAAATGTTGGTTTGTATATCTTTTTCCATTTTTTCTCTTTCTCATCGTAAATAAACCATACATGACCAGTGGGGGTCCAAGTTATATTTGTGAAATTTGGTCGAGGGGGTAAATGTAAAACATGCTGGAAAGTGCTCGGTTTGGGCGTTCGTCGAAATAAGGATACTTTAGCTTCCTCAACTTTCCATATTCTTCGATATTCACAGTATACATACCCAAAAATAAAAATAAAAATAATTTTATTAAACATTTTTCATTAACAATAATATGAAATAAAACATATCACTTATATATTTTCATAAATTTTCGGATTGTTCTACTGCTTCCAATACATCTATACATTCAATTGGGTAAAAATATTGATGTCTTTTTCCTCCAACAACACAAATAAGTGGTAATTGCGGATATGCAATATCAATTCGATGACGAACATAAAAATATTGTCTTATTGTAACACGTAAGTATCCACGTAGTGCAAATATCTGATCAGCCCCCATTTTCGTTAACTTGCTTGGATATATTTCCATCTGTTGATGCTTTAGATGATTTGTGAGTAGAGCTTTCTTTCTAGGTTCAGTAAAATTTCTTTGACCAATTCCTGAAATGGCAACATCATCATTTGTCATGCTAGTAAGAGTCTGCAAGTAATTGATATTTTCATTAAATTTTTTCCGTAGTTCGCGATGAAGTGATTCCGGGGCACATCCTCCATTGAAACGACAAAGTATTTGAATAAGTGGTGTTAATTGAACTTCAGGTGTAGGACTTGTAGGTTCAGTCATGTTGTCGCTAGTACGCATTTTTTAATAGCAAACTGTTTTGTAATAAATAACTATGCCTCTTATATACCAAGAGGGCCTTTAGCAAATCGAATACTTGTCATCCCATCCTTTCCTTTCTTACGGATATTTGTATGTATTTTGAATAATAAAGCCAAGACAAATAATAAACCCAAATCCAAAATATATGCTATTATAAGAAGAATATCTTTATTTGGAGTTATAGCAGGACCAATAGAAAGTGCATGCCCCCCGTCAATAGCAAAACAAGCATTTACATTTGGAGGAAAGGGTCCATGCAAGGGAAATAGTATATTACTGTCATTTTGGGATAATATTACACAAAATAGTGGAAATAGTATTAAAATTGAATATATCATTTTAGTAACTAAATTATAATATTAACTCTTATCTTATATACGAAAGGTGCTGAATAAATCGTCTTAAAAAGGCATCACGGCCTTCTTGGGGAATTGAATGTAATTTTTGTAATGTTGAAGAGAAATTGTTTTTTGAACGCAATACAAGAAAATATATACAATAATGGCCACAAGTATCTGACAAAGGGGATTGCAAAGAAAATTTATTTTGTTTTACTTTAGAAAACTTGCCAAGCATAGATTGTCTCATGTCACAATTTGGTTCTTCTGCAAATGAGTCAAAGTATTCGACCGTACTCGGATTATCAGAATAACAAGCAATCCAATGTTCGCCAGCTGTTCCTTTTCGCATATTATTTACAATAAAACAAAAAGGCTTAGTCCATTCGTTATTTGGGATATTATCAGAAGAAAAGACACCAAGAAACTTATTTTTCAAAGGTTTATATTTTTTGAGTAGATTTTCGATTTGTAGAGAATTCATTATTAGACAGATCCATCGGTACTTAACACACGATCTGCATTTATGGACATTATTGCATCGAATTCACCCATGATTATCATTTCATATCCTTCATCCTTTACAGGCTGATTGAACAAGCAACGGACCGTTGTTGTTCCTTGTCTAATAAGTTCCAGTCCGTTAGTGTCTTCGAGCGTTGAAGTCATAGGTATAACAAAGAAACAAGATGATTGTGAAAATTCCTTCATCCCTATACTTAAAGTTCTTTGATCAGAATTTGGCCAAGCATCTAAGTCCATACCTACATACATATCAACAAAAGCACGCACAAAGCTGTCATTCGAAAAATCAAGATCATATGGCACCGCTGGAAACTGGAAGCCGCCAAATTCTGCTGAAACAGTTCGCAGGTTCGCATGCTCAAATGTGAACGGTGACAACGCAGTATTTCCCGTATATGCAGGCGAGCTTACAAAACAAATCACTAACCGTCTCGGACACGTACTTGTGAACGCAGCATGTGTAATTTCCTGGCGACCTTTTCCAAGAAAAACGCTCCTAATTTCAATCTTTCTATAGGCATATTTTGCAGGCGACTGTTCTAAATGTCTAGCAATAGCATTATTTAGTGACATACTTAAATCAACTTGTTTAACAAAAATTCTCATATCATGAAGTCGTAGGCGGTATGTGCTTGTATTATTTACTAATTCTTCACCAGCTTTTTTGCGATATTTTGGAGCATGAATAAGAAATTCATCGGTATTTCTGTAAAATGTCCAAAGCACATCACTATTAGGAATTAAAAGCTGATTTTGTCTTGCCATATCATAATCTAAATGGGAAAGTAATCTGCAAGTCTGACCATTAGCAAATCTAGATGCCCGCGATTTAAATCCTGAACCTTCAAAATCATTCTTTTCAACAGCATCTTTATAATAAAGTCCTGCTTCATAAAGACCCTTGCTGACCTCTCTATCTGATCCTAGCTCATGAAGAAGTATACATCTGTATGCATAATGGATTCCCGAGTCATAGCATTGAATACCATTAATAGATAGAGTTAAACGACGAATCCATGTTAACCCTAAATATTGAGCAACACTTGTAAAACTATCACCCGCGAAATTTCCTGACAAGTCTTTAACAATTGGGACCCATTCACCTGTTGCATCAACCTTACGTTCAAGAGATAACACAAGACTCAGATATGTTTTACTTAAATCAAGGTAGAGGGAATCACCAAAATATCGAAAAATAAACGGACCTGCAGATTGATTTAGAGCATTGAGGGGAAGCAATTCTTTATACGCCGAACGTTGAATACCAACATTTGTTGACGGTATAGAAAAGAAGGTTAGGCGATTATCAACCCCTTCAGTACTGTCTTTGTCAATTTTCTTAATAGTCGTCATTTTGATTATAGAATAATAATAAGCTAATACTTATATACTCAGATACCATCAAAGCTGAGTTGGTCTCTATATCTTCTTCGTTTCTTTCCTAAATTATTTATAATTACATTTTGTTTTTCCTTTCGTTTTCTTTTGCCTTTCCCACATTGTTGAAGCTTTTTCCCTACTTTTTGAAGACCTTCGGTACCATGCTGTTTTAATGCTTCACTTACTGATCGCCCTTGTGAAACATCTTCAAGAATATTTTTGCCAGCATTTACAGCTTCATTTCCTGCAGTTGTGGCTATATTTTTAACAATAGGCATTAAAAATCGCCCTACAGCCCCAAGTACACCAAATCCTCTTTGATACCTAGTTCCTTGGAAATAACGATTATCTTCAAGTAATCTTCCTCCTCCGTCTTGAGCACTCAAAAATGGCTCCCAGTCAATTTTATCTAGGTCTAAACTAACGTGTGTCATTTTTTAAAATAGTGAGCGTTGAAAGTGTAATGTTAATATGCAAGTACCCCAATGGAATTTTACTAGATTTCCAGTTAAGGTTCGAATTTCAATAGTAATGTCTGGATGGCGTTTACCTAATAAACGATGATGAGCTTCGGTCATATATACTTCTGAAATACTTTCACCAGGTTTACCAGATACATTAACAACACGTAATAACGGCGCAGTTACATTACCTATTATGCTATTTTCAACAAGTTTTGGTGCATAAACTAAAAATTGACGCACACCTCCAGATATATCCGGCATATACTTTGCGACTTGTCCACTATGAACCTTCTCAGAATCGAAACCAAGAGTATAAGCTAGTTGACGACTTAATTTAATAAATTGTACGTTTCCTTGCAAGAAGACATGAAAACGCTTATGCACTTTATCGTATAGTATGGAAACCCATTGATATTTTGGATCAGCGAGTTGTATATTTGAGAAACTAAGAAGCATTTTTAAATATTCAGGAGGATAAGCATATTCAGCTAGATGTAGTTTCTTAGGCTCCGAGTCATTTAACTCTTCAGATTCTTTTTGTTCATTTTCTTGTTTTGGAAGTTCTTTTTCTTTGGCTTTATCAGCAACATCTTTGTTTGAATCAAAAGTCCCACCACCAAGACCAAAGAAGCTTTTCCAAAAGGGAGGTCTTTCAGGGGGATCTCCAATTAACATTTCAGGACGAGGGAGCTCAGGTAGCGAATTTAGATCCTCCGGCTGAATTTCTTCTTGCTCTGATTCTTCTTCAATTGTGGGAAGATTACTCACTTTTTCAGGAGGAGTCCATTCCACTTCCTTATTAATTATTGCTGGAGATTCCTGTGGCCGACCTAGGCCTTCTTTTTCAGGGGTCCATGGTTCTACAGCGTCTTCTTCACTTATTGTTGGTAATTCATGCGACTCATTATCTTCAAGAGTGTCCATTGAATGTGGTACAGGCTCTTCTAATGGGGGAGTCCAAGGCTCTTCATCTTCATCAATAACTCCTGGAAATTCCTGAATCTTTTCTTTAGAAGATTCTACATGCTCCTCAGTGACTTCTTGTTCAATTTCCTCACGAGGTTCAATATTTTTTTCATCTTCGTGTGTCTTAGACTCTTTATCATTTTCCAATATTTCTATAGAAGTTTCTTCAGGCGTTTCAGTGACTTCTTGATCATTTTCTTCAAGATGTTCTATATTTTCTACTTCTACGATTGTCGAAGGATTTTCATCCGTTTCTTGCGTATCTTCAGAAGTTACTTCACGAGGTTCAATATTTTCATCCTCTACGATTGTCGAAGGATCTTCATCATTTTCTTGGGTATCTTCAGATGGCCCATCATCGACAACATCAGTTGATTCAGCTTCTTTCTCAGTATTTTCCTCTTCATGTGTAAAAGGCTCTTTAGCATTTTCTTGCGTATCTTCAGATGTTCCTTGAGGTTCATCAACGTCTTGATCATGTTCTTCGTCAGCATTTTCCTCATCTGCAGGTGCTGAAGGTTCTTCATCCTTTTCATACTTATCTTCAGATGGCTTTTCAGCGAATTCATCTATTGGCTCAGCTTCTTCCTCAATATTTTCCTCAGAAGGCTCTTTAGCATTTTCTTGCGTATCTTCAGAAGGTCCTTTAGGCTCTTCTTCATTTGTTGATTCATGTTCGACTTGACTTTCATTATTTTCCTCTTCATGTGTCGAAGTCTCTTCATCATCATGAGTTGTTAGTTTTGATGATGAACTTTCATAGTCTTGTTTCGAAAGTTCAGCTTCAACTTTGCCTACAATTTCTTCCGATAAAATTTTCTGACCCGCAACAGCTTCTTCAACTTGACTGGCTAATTCTTTAACCTTTTGTTCTGCGGCCTTAGCACGATCTGCAGCTTTTCGTGCCTCAGTAACATCGCCTCGTGATTCTGCCGCTATAGTTTCTATTTGTGCTTCTGAAACCCTATCTTTTGCCTCTAAACATTCTTGTATCCATTTATCTATTTCATTTCTTCGACTAAACAATAGTTTTAATTGTGTTACAACCAATCTTAGAATAGTTGCAGGTACTTTTGTCTTAGTTACACCCGTCTCATTTAATGTTACCTCTTCATCTATTAGTGCATACTTATAACGAGCATCTTCCCAATATTTCTGATTAAGTTCTTTATTTAGTTGTGATTGTTGCTTTGCCAATTCTACACTGTTAGTCAATGACCTTGTAGCTGCACGAACAGCCATATCTATTAAAGTTTTTTGTTCATCTGTTAGGGTATCAGAAAGAGGTGTTATCTTTCCGTCTAAGGGAGTTTTATCCTTTTGCTTTTCAGTATCCTGTTGTATATTATCCGATTTTGCTTCAGAAGATACTGGAGCTTCAGTAGGAGCTCCTGATACTGGTGTTACTGGAGACTTTGGGATAGGAGGATAATCAGTTATAGAAATATCAGATGTAGGCAAACTAACTGTTTTTTCATTAATTTGATTTTTAACTGCAACTTGAGAGGGAGCAGGCGTATCTGTTTCAGAATTTTCATCAACATTTTCCACTAAACTTGCTTCTTGTAAAGGATTTTCAGGTTTAGTTTCAGATGGAGAAGGTGATGCAAAACTTTTAATTGCATTTATTATTAAATCTTTTTGCTCAGTTTGCGGCTTTAATCGAACAGTTTCTACAGAGCTTTCCGGAACCGAAGATAGAACTGGAAGTTTTGCCCCCTTAATTTCTTTATTTAAATATTGTATAAATTTATAAGCACGATCCTTTGGCATATCGAAGTAACCTTCCGTTTCCAATTGTTGAATGAAACTTTCATGCTCAGCAGCAGGCAATATTTCTTTTTGTTTAAGCTCAGTCTGTGTTTGTGGAGTAGATTCACGGGTTTCTTCCATAGGAGTAACATTTGAGTGTTCTTCTTCAGTTTGATTGGCTGAGGGAGGATTAGTAAATTCATCAAGTGCCTGTTTGATCCGCTCTATTTGATCTTGATTTGGAGTGAAACGAACCATTTCTATACCATCTATTGCATGAGGTCTTATAGGAGGTAAACGAATTCCTTGTTTCCCTAAAAATTTCATGAAATTAAATGCAATTTCCTTTGATAAATCAAAATAACCATTTTTAACTAATTGTTCGCTTATAGTCTCAACAGCTCGTCTTTTACGAAAATTCCCATAAATTCTTTTTTTATTCTCTTCAAGTCTCATTTCCTCTCGCTCGCGATCCAATTCCTTTTTCCAAGCATCAAGCAAAACAGCATTTATGGCCTCTTCCAAGGCCTCTTCTGAAGCAAAAGACAAATCGGGTATCTCGATTCGAACAGAAAGAAGTTCCTTTCCATATCGGCGATAAATTGTAATAGATTCCTGCTCATCGGAATCTCCAAGTAAAGAGAATGAAAATGGGTAAATAATATTTGAAAGTGCAACAGTCCAACTTGAATCTAATTCGAGAGTATCAGGCATTCTTACTGTGAATTTTGAAGTAGTATTTCCTTCAACATCTCCTGAATTTGAAGGTAAGACAACATAGAATGAATCCATAATTAATGTCTAACGATGTCTTTGTCGTTTACCCAACTGTTATGAATGTCTTTATAACCAATCCAACGCACAAAATGTTGTTTTATCCCAGTACGTGTAGTACGAGTTTTTAAAATTTCGGCAATACGATGAGTAGTATCCTCTTGTGTGGGCACCAACTCTTCTCTATAGAATATTCCTTCAATTATATTGTCTTCAAAATCTTTTAACTTATATGTTACAGGTGAACGTGTGTCGTTCGTTGTATGTACAAGAAAAAGCTCGTCAGTATAGTTAGGTAAATATCCTTTTTCAAATTTACCCTTTTCTTTTGAAATGCGGACAACTTGTCCAGGCTCGAGTTTAGAAGTTGTTTTAATGATTGTACCAGTGCCCTTATATAGCCTCTCAAATAATTTACGAGAATTTTTGAAAGTAACTGAATTAGGTGTAACACCTGTAACACGGTTTACGCTAGAATTTATTCCAGAAATAATTTTCTGAATAGCCTCAATCCAGCGCAGTGTATTTTTCTCACTGAAATATCGATATAATCTTTCCTTTATTGTACGATTCGCTCTTTCTGCCATTGAAGCATGCACATCAGGACTATAAACTACACGCTTATCAATATCCTTTGATATAAAATAATTCCTCATTTTTTTAGCCTCAAATTCTAACCCACGATCAGTGTATAGTTTATGAGGCAAGATACCATTAGAACGTTTGAAAATTTTTTCAAATGCCTCAATCATATCTTCTGATCGCTTAGTTTTGACAGGAGATGCAAAAATCATTCGACTTAGAACATCAATACATACTAATAGATACCTGTTACTATCATTATGTTTAGCTATCTGATCAAATATTGCTAAATCTGCCTGCCAATCAGTGTGAAGACCACTTGGACGTGTAACTAGCCTTGGGAAATTTTTTCTGGAGGGTCTATGCATGGTATACACTCTTTGCTTATGCAAAAAATCATAAACATCCTGAAATTTTATCTTTGGATATTTGCGCTTCGCTTCCTCATAAACGCGATTTATTCCTGCATAGGAAGCAGGAGAATTTAACGAATAATATTTTTCTGATAAAAAATTATCTAAAGCTTTTCCCATATTTGTGGAATAAATTTATTTTTCTTTTGCAAATTTATAGGCAAGACTTTTACCAAGACTCTTTTCATTCTAATCCCGCTACCTGATTGACTACCAGAACTTTCCTCAGTATTACTTTCTCCTTGCGTCTCTTTGATCATTTCTTTTACTAAAGGGTCTTTGGATAATCGATTAAATAGAAAACTAAAACCTTTAGGGGGTGACGATATATCACCTTGTACATATTCGAGCACTTGAGTGAAATTACTATTCTTTACAAGTCTTCCTTTGACATTAGATTCAAAGCTTCCATTCTTACTTATTCTAAATTTTTCAGCATTATCTTTGACATAATTTTCTAAATCCTTCGAATATTTTTTTGAAATAATCCCATTAAATGGTGTTGTTTTTCTTCTTTTCATTAGTTTTGGTGATGTAAATTCTGAATCTGTTTGATATTCTGAACTTGATTGTACAGGTTGTAACTGTGTTTTAGGGGCTGCAGTTTCCTTAAGATAAGGAGCAACTTCTGGAGCTCTCGCTACATTACCCTCATCGATTATCACCTTTTGAGGCCTATTTTCTAATTCGTGTTTGAGTTGTCTTCTTTTTTATATAACAATTTATATTTTTGTGCCTTTACATCTTCACTTAAATTTGGATCAGTAAGAGTCTGTTTAATTTTTGAGTCGGTTTGTACCTTTTCATTTTGAAGAAAATCTCCGCCTTTAATCATGCTTAGAAGTGCAAGATATTCACTTTCAGGAACCATAATCATCTTCTTTGTATGCTTCATTCTTGTGTGAATCTATGAATAATATGTTCCGCTAAAGCTCCAAGGACGGGTACGAGTATAGCGGCTAGAGCGGCACTACCTCCTTGTTGTATTCGACTTCTGGCGCTCTTTTCAGTACGTGTTCGTGCGATAGCTCTATAGAAATCAGCAAACTGAGCTAATTTCTTGCGTTGTCTTCTACTTAAAGTAAAATTATTTTTTAAAATATTAGCACAGATTTCAACTATTGCTAATATTTGATCCGCACTGGCTGATAGAATTAAGGCGTTTTTCTTCTTATCTGAAGATGTCTT